ATTGAGGCCCAACCGGCGGGGTTCCGGATCCAACAAGGGCTACTTGCCTGCCCGCCTACCACAGCGCCTTTTTGGAACCTGATTGGTCTCTGCTTGTGTGAGGTTGCTAGTCTATTATAGTCTTTCCCTTTGAAATGAATTGGATAAAATTCTAACCAACCGGAACGGGCTGCCGCAAATGCACACAGTTTTATCGAGAATGACCTGCAGATAACAGTACTTTTTTCGTGACCGATTGTATTTTTCTCTGCCAGGTTGGTGTTTTTGGGCAATAGTCGACCGCGCGTACGGTTCAGGTTATCGCCGAGGACGAATAATAACAAGAAGTCTAGTCCTTTCCTGGGCGCCGTCATATATTGCTTACAACTACTTGTAGCTATGGTTGTGCCTTCTATAAGGGACCCAGATGGTGTTGCTTATAGTGTCACCATGCGTGAAAGTCAACAACAGTCAGTCCAAACTGTTGCGGCCATTTAGCCGTTGCAATGTGAGGGCCTGTTCGGGACCCCCTCTGCTTCTCTACTGGACTGTAAGGCGGAATGCGCATATTTCGTTTTGTCCTGAAGCTCCGGTGTCGACCCTATTCAGTGATCGGACAATGCAGTCCCACAGTAGAACACTGCACCAGCATTCCGTTAATGAAACCAGGTCACACCAATAAAGGCCATGCTTGTGCCTTTTCGATTTTTTCCTGCTTTGAACTATGCGACCGTCTGCGTGAAAACTAGACTGGAGTTCCCGTAGTCTGTCTTACATCAATTTTTTGTAGATTAATGCCAATCTGAAGCCATTTTGATATTTCGACCGTACCTTACATTTTTATATTCCAAAAATTTATTTGCCGGATGTAGCATCCAAATATATTTTGAGATTGTAAAGTTACGCAACTAAGATGCGGCCTGTAAACTTGAGCAGACGCGTGGTTCAGAAAAAGTTAACGTATTGTTTTTTTGCCCTTCGATTTGTAGTACTTGTTGACTTGACACGACTTTTGTCCATGGCTTGTGTACGTTAAGTTAATACATTTATGGCCCACACAACCTCAGTTTTATTACCCGAGTTCAACGCTGTGAATTTATGCAAGCGTTTATTGGTCTTTTTTGTCTTGAATGTGTTGTTTATTACCATTTCCCGCTTCTATTTAAAAGTTGCCTAGCAAGACCTTTTTGAATAGCTGGAGTATACTTCGTAAATGTTAAGTAGTAATTCAGCACACAAGATTTTCTTAATGCTGCGCGCTTTTTCGGACAAAATCTGTAAAATTAAGGAAGGGCTTGACGGAACTAGCTCACCATGCACACATAAGAAATTTGTCATAGCATGAGATTAGATGCCACGCCTTGTCCTCGACTATTTCCATTCGCATTATTTATTGAGCACCATTTCGCTTGATAATTACGTGCACGTCAGTTACAGTCTTGGCTTTACGGGCTACCGACTGACGCGATAACTTGCTCATCTCAGGAACCGAGAGTTTGGCTGCGCTGGCTTCATCTCAATGTGACCTCGATGGCACTCCTATTCCAATGGGAACCGAATCGCCCATTTCCTGCGTTTGTGAAATCCAGCGAGTTTGACATCTCTCACTCGAGAGATCGTTCGTAGTCTGCGGTGCCTGAAAACCACCTAGCTTTTTTTGTTTTTTCATGTTTACAGTCTAGATAACAATGAACCTAATGGGACTCTACTTCGAGCTAGTTATTCGATAAGCCCATTGACACCTTTGAGGGTTATCAAAACACGACTAGCAGTGTCAATGCAGACGACGTTATCATACATTCTCTTTATTTGAAAATAACTTAATCCCGCTGTACCTAAAGAAGTCCACCTCCTTACTTTGGCAGATGCTTATCATTGTGGGCTCCTTCTCATTTTCCTCCTTGGAGATTCGGCTCTCGGGTAGTTGGGTTTTTGCGACGTTGACGCCTGAACCGACTGATTTCCTGTCATCGCACTCTCAAACCGTGCTCCCGTAGACCAATGGCATTGACTGTGTTTGATAACCATGCAAATGCGGGTGCATACCGCATGCCTGCAGCATGGCCGCACAACTTTCTTTGTAAAAGTAACTGATAAACACGCCGTAACAACATTATTTGTTTTAAACGATGGAGTACTTAACTAGACAGTTGGCTCTATGGGGTCTGAAGCTTTGGATATTGCAACAGGGGTTTCTGTACTTTTTACTCAGGACCTCAGTTTACTGTTTCTTATTCCATCCTTTCTTATTTTTTTAGCACGCCATTACGAAGAACAAATCCAAGGTCTCAAGGCGGAACGTCAAAACCTCGCTCGGGAGCTTGATGGAAAGCTTGACAAGTACCTGATCATGAGTTTAGACTTAAGCCCTACACACTCACATGTCACTTGGTTTTCCTTATTTCACTTTGATTGCAATCTTGTCTTATTTTACACACTAAATTGCTAGTGATCACCGAACAACTTACGTTAAATCCTCGTACTTTAGCCTATTTCTCATATTTTCGTATTAATATTTGGCTATCTCAAAAACATTTCGGACGGGATTTTCACACCGAATTTGTTTTGTCGCTTATACTCCTATTTTCCCCCTTTTAGATCCTTGATGAAAAGTCTGCTTGTGAGTTGTTTAAGGCTGCCTCCCTCCAAGAGACCAGACGCCTTTCGGATGTTAGGACGTATACTAGAATTCACCCCGGACGAATGCAATGTGGTATGTGCATGTTATTTTGCTTCATTTTACTGTCTCTATAGACAGAGACTGTGTCCAATTTCAATACTTCGTCAGCTGTTTTGGACGAGAAGCACCAGTATTACTTAAGTGGGGTGTTAGCCTTGATTATCGTGCAGCATAGCCTCAAAATAGTTTGGTCACCCAAAGATAATGGCTTTTGGATGCGCATCTTTCCGACTGTCTTCAGAAACGAATACTTCAGTAGTATCAAGTTTTTATATCGCTTTTTGACTCCCCTATAGATAAAAATATATTTTTAAAAGCATATGCGAAATCCTCTAGCACCCATTGAATCACTATATGTGATAATCAATAGTACAACCACACCCAAATAATCCTTACTGATTGAAGACATTTCAAAGTGTTGGCAAACATTTTGTCTACTGTATTAGGCTTCGCGCTAAATCCGCATTCTGGCTGCGCCATAGCTATGATCACAGTCGTTCCATGTTATCAAGTGCTACTTTTATAACCCTTTGAAGGTCACGAAGCACTAATTGCAATAGGCTTTTCTAGGCCTTGGGCGCCATCTCACCATAATATGAGCGAAACATGTCTGAGCTTGTAGATAGTACTCATGTTGCCAGCATGTCAAATAATTACGTAGGCAGCTTGTAAGTATTACGCAGTTATTTCGTGGTAGCTGATTGACTTCAGCCCAGATATGATAATATACTCCAAATTGGAGGTTACGTTCTAAAAAAATTAAAAAGCTACAACGACCATTTCTCCTTTTTCACCGCATGCATTTCACTATTTACATTTGCCCCAACGTCGGAAACCTCCTTACGTAAGTCTCATAGAATTTACCAAGCTCGGGCATTTTATGAACTCTTGCGGTTTGGATTCGTCGGGGCAAGTCATCCACCACCTAAACCCTGTGTATTCGTCCTTCTCTCTGTGAGATTATATAGATAGGAAAAGAGTAAAACTTTCTTCAGGTCGCTCCCGAGGAATTAAAATCTTAAACTTATTAGGGGGTTTGGCAGATTTGCTTAATTTTAGTTGACCCACTTGTGAAAAAACTCGCGGCATTTTGCTAAATGCCGCGAGTTTTTTCACAAGTGGGTCAACTAAAATTTTAAACATTCTTCAAAAGACTAGCTAGATTTAGTGAACGTCGCAATACGTTCCTAACTGAAAAATGCCATCCTGTACTTGAATTTCATGCCCATTGCCACGGCTTTTCCCCTTATCGTTTCCAGCTTGGCCTCAGTGAGCCTGTTGGCACGAACTGGCGCGACTGGTTCAGGATGACCGGAGCACATACGTCCACGGGCGATGAAGATTCCCAAAAAGTGAGTCTACTTGATTTACATTTCCTCGGTTATGCTTCTTGCGCCTGTCGTGGCCAACATTTTGTCATGGGGCGACAACCCTAAACCTGCTTAGTTAGCAGTCGGTCATATTCCAAGCTCTTTCTCTTTGGCTTTATTATATAGGCCTTCGCACGTTTTCAATGGGATAGACGAAAAAATAAAGTTGTGTGCGTTCACTGATCTACCTTCCTGTCTTCGTTAAAACGTCACCTGTAGGCTGCAGTCGTCAATCTCCGAATACATCAATTAATGGTTTTCTTTTCGGATCCCAAAGTTTTAGATCGTGCCACTGGACCTTATGCGACTATTGCCATCTAACTTTATCATGCCAATGGATGCCCACCATTGAATGGCTATCGGAGCATACTGTTCTGTTCTATTCGAAGTTTTTTACAAGCAGTTGTCAGGTGTGACTGTACATAACACGCCGACCACCGTACAAAGCCATTTTTCGTTCATTTCGCGTCCGGGCCTATACATACCTCTGGGGCGTCGACATGTACTTCAGCCAAACATCTGAACCGGCTCCATAGGCGTCTACTTAAATGAGTTTCTCTATGGGTGATTACTGAAGGGCTGTTAGAGTAACTTAAGAACAATCACCGTTCATTTTCCTTACAGCGATCGTTCATTGAACTTTTTGCGGAATTCCTCGAAAAGGAGTCTGCCCCGCCAACCCAAATCAAGTTACCGACAGACCACCTGCAATCCATGAGCCCACAGAATCAGTCTCAGGTGGCACGAAGGTTGCGCGCCGATTCCACTTCGACAGTCCAGCAGAGGAGCGTTGCTGAACACAGTGGACAACCGGCTCCCCACAATCTCCCCTTCCCTTCGGACACTGGCGTACCACCAACTGTCCCGCTGTTTATACCTACCATCTCCAGCTCCACACCCCCAAAAGGCGCGTCAGCCAATCCACTTTTGTCAGCTTTCGTGCAGAAGTGACGTATATTTCCTCCCAGCAGATAACTTGTTATAATTTTTGGTTTATTTCTTTTGATTGCTTTTTAACTTCTGTTGAAATGTATACGTTTCTTTCCCGTCCAAACTAAGACAAGTTTTGCAACACATTGGTTCTCAGAATCAGTCATTCAGCATCTTAAAGAATCTGTTATAAAAGCGGCAACGTAGGGCAGTGCAGTTCGGCAGACGAATGTACTTGTATTTGACAAAAAATAGCAAAATAAAAGTTTCCCGAGATATCATTGAAGCGACAGTGAACAGTTACTAAAAGCTGATGTGTTCACTGCGTCGTTTAAAGTCTTCATCAGAAGATTCGGAGGATTCTGTGTGCAGTTTTTCCATGGATTCGTTGCCCGATCCGGGCTCTAGATGTTGTCTCTTTCGCCTATGAAGTTTGCACGGCGTGTGACTGTCCGAAAACATGACACCTGGTTGAACGCCGGGCCTTGGCCCGGAATTCCGACCACTCAGGGTGCTCTGTTGCCGACTGCTGGTGACAGTAGCAGGGCTAGGAGAGCTAGACAGCCGCCCAGAAAGCAATTGACCGCAGGGTTGCTGTGGGATGCGAGGCAATGGAGACAATCCGGGAGGTGCAATGCCGCCCTGTCTGCTCATGCCGCTCTGCCCGCCGAGCATTGCCGCAAGCGAATTGGCGTGCCTTGGCTGTTGTGCCGGGGCGACAGGGGACTGACTACTGTTCCCCGCGTTCGAATTACTCCCGTCTCCTGACAATATGGAGGTATTCCAACCCTGACTGCCGTTAGGCACAGAAGGCGCCGATGGCGAAGACACCATGTTCACGCCGGGAAGCATTATGCCTGGCGAATAAGTTCCTTTAAAAAAATTGTGGAAATAAAAGCCTGAAGCAACGGAATTTTGCATTATTAAACAACATGCGGTGGTTAATATTACACAGGGTTGCACCTTGACAGAATTCGTTCTCATATTGTAGTTCTGCAGTACATTTCCGGGTCAGGTGCGTCTATATTATCAGAGGTAGTGACAGTGTTGAAAGTGAGATTCACACAAAACAAATTTAGAAGGAGAAATTGAATACCCGCTGTCTGTAAATTAGAATTGGGCAGCAGAAGGGAGCAGGCTTTATTCGTGTAATAGTGCATATGCGCTTACTATAGGTTGAAGCACTTCCTTAAGTGTGAAAAATTAAACTCAGAAGTCTGAAGCTGAGTCCCAAGGGGTTCATGTCCACTTGCCTTGACAGCTGAGGCGATAAAATGTGGAGCTAATCATGAAGCGTAAAGCGGCGCAATTAGAGACCTGTTAGTTGGCAAGTATTCCAGTCATGTATATTATCAGGCTCATTAGCCCCCATCCGCATAGGAGCTACTAGACGCAATATAAATGCAAAATACAATTGATGATTAATTTTAGCAAAAGTGGGAGATTAACCGATAGAAATTGAAGTTAGCATATCAGCTGTAAGGAGTCTACCATTTTAGTACTGGTATTAAACCCTTCGAATATTTCTAATGGTCGATCTAGTTCAATTTTAGATGACAACATACTTAGGTGTAATGTAGTCGAAAGAGATGTGGCGAAATGCAACCTAATAACTTTTTCCATCAAAAAGGCGATGCAGGGAAATTATTTTTACCTTATTCAAGAGGTTGACAAAACAGTTTGCGTGATAACGTCCTTCAAACAAGCGCCAATTTCGTTACAGAGTAGTCGAAAGAAGGTCCGTCAATTACCTAGGACAGCGGGTCGAGCGGACATTGCGATTAGTTTAAATGGTTAATAATGCGAATAATGACGATCCCAATTCGACTAATAAGTTGTCCGGCCACCTATTTTCGTCTTCCTGCAATGTCATTATGCGTGATGTCCATTCGACGCAGATATTATATGCCGAAACGCTTGGTACAGTATTCGGTGACTGACTATATCACATCCAAAAATGCGCAATTTCTTCAATATTGTTTGTCAACCGTGGCGGTAACTTGAACTACATACATAAAGGAGGTAAGGC